TTTTCAAATGTTGTGCCCACCTTGCAGCCCTGGGATGAGTCCCACTTGATCATGATGCATGATCCTCTTGATGTAATTTTGAATTCGGTTTGCTAATATTTTGTTGAGTATTTTTGCATCTGTGTTCTTTAGGGATATTGGTCTGTGAAGTTACAATTTTGCAATACTTTGGATTCCAGAGTCCCTAAGGACTCATGTTCTTGACAAGTATGTAATTCATCTACCTCCTGTGTGTTCTGTTTCTTTAATATTCTGAATGTCTCTCCATCTATATGTTCAAGTATTTCAATCCTGTTATTCCAATTCCCTGCAATACCTGTGAGTTGTGGCTGTTAGCATAAAATTGCCAATTAAATTGAACTCACTTGCCCATGTTTCTCATTCTCCAGTGAGTGGTCACGCAGCATGGCTGTACAGACATAGCCCAAGGCACATCTCTGGTACAAAGATAAGACCCACCCACCTTCACCTGTGATAGGGAGATAGGGGCATCCCTTCCAAGCCCTCTGTCTTTGGAAACGATGGGTGGCATTGGCACAAGCTTGCTGGGCTGGGGAAGCCAGTTTCCTGTCATATCAGGAACTGGTGTGTCTCAAGAAACCTTGAGGTGTACCCAGCACTATATGGCACAGTCCAGATCAGAATCACCATTCATCCCATCTTCAGCCATTCATCTTATATATTTATGAACATGTGCCACATGCCAGGTGCTGTTCAGGGCTCTGAGAGTTCCAAAACGATTGATATCGTGTCTTCATGTGCAGAAAGCTCAGAAAATCATATGAAACAGTGATGCACCAATACATATACATTGTCCTGAATGCCAGGAGAACAGGGCACCTAACACAGATGGAGCGGGCAGTAGGCTGAGAGATGCAGCTTCTTGGGGTTGGTGATTCTGATCTGAGGCTTGCAGGTCAAATGGAGTTAGCCACACAGGGGCCTTTGGGGAAGGTGGTTTGTAGGTGGTGGTTGTTCCAGGAGGAGGGGTCTACATGTTGAACAGCAGTGAGGTGCCTTCTGGTGAGGGTAGAGGGTGAGGAGCAGGATGCAAGCAATTGGGTTGTTGTTGGGTGATAAAGAATAAGGCTAGGCAGGAAGAAACACCCCTTTGAAGTAGGTAAGAATCTGACTGTGGAGGGCCATCTGTGCCCCCTCAGGGAACTCAGCCTATGGTCCCATGGGTGAATTGGTGGCACCAATCAAGGATGGGAATGAATGCAGAATGTTCAACTCACAGGTGGGAAGGATGAATTACATGTCAGCCGTAATGTGTTTGAAATATCTGCCAAAACCTTGAGAAGCAGCCTGGCTAACGAAGGTGAATCTAAGAACTTAGGATACTGGCTCTGAGGAACTGAGAGGTTGCAGACTAATGGAGTGAGAAGAGCTTGGATACCCAGCAGAGCTGACCCTGAGTGGGGTGACTGTAGGCATGTGTGATCTGTTAGAACCTGGGACAGCCTGGGACTGGCAACCTTTCCATGTCCTATGGGCTGCCAGGTCTTTCTCAGGTTGTCTCCACCTCTCCCTGTGTTTACACCATTCTCTACTGCCAGCCAGATTCCTCTGCATTCCAAGTAAAGCCTGGCCAAACCCGTCTGTGCACAAGTCAGCTTTGTTTAGGGAGGCAGGGTTATTGTTAGGAAAGCTTGGCTGCCACGTCATCCCTGGGCATAGACGGAATTGTTCCACTTAGGAGGAGCTGTTGCAATTGCAATCTTTGACATTTGCATACTAATCTGCACTGAATTTAGAGTTTCCTGTCAAAACATGCAAACACTCTCAATGAGGAAAAAGAATGGTATTAAAGAATAAAAGGACTTCAACTCTCTGGAGACAGATGACATTGCCAGGGATAAGCCTGCATCATCACAGACCTTAGCCAGTCCTTCATCTGTGGGTGGCACTCAGAATGCAGGCCCGTGAACGTCAACTATCTTCTTGGAATTTCCCATCCCTCTCAAGCCTGAGCTTCTGTCCCCATTCATTACCCTGTTGGGAGGGACATACATCATAGGGGAGAGAACCTGGGCTTTCCAGCACATGACTGGCTGGGCTCAAATCCCGTCCCACTGCTTCAAGTAACAGCTGTGTGACCCTGGTAAGTTACCTCATCTTCTTGAGCCTCAGAGCCTCAATGTGTAATCAAAAGAATGTTTATACAGTGCCACCCCCTATTGCCTCACTGTCCCCATCCCATACCATCCCCATCTAATGCAAATGCCACACAGGTTGGCATAGTAGCCATTTAATACTTGAGGATATTGAGGATACAGAAGGGGCAGCTCTCCTCACCCTGCCTCTCTGCTAGAGAAAGTCTTCCTGTGAGCCTGGCCTCTTCACAGGGTGCTCTGCTTTCTTGTCTACCCAAGTCATCTTCTGTGAACCTTCAAACCTGAAGGGCTACTTCTCTTTTCCCATGTTTCCCCCTGTAGGGGAAGGAGATGGGGCTGGTGTTCCCCTGGCTCCTGGCTGTCACTTAGTGCTCTTCCAGCTCTCATGTATGAAGTCCCCACCACACTGAGTCCCTGCCTTTTGGCTCTGCCACTTTATCACTATCTTGCCACCATCTGTGACCATTTATTCTCAGAGGTCTTTGGATAGCTGCACACGCAGTTTCTCTCAGTGCAGCACTGCCTGTGGTGTGCCCAGGGCCTCCTTCCCACACAGCAGGGCCCCTGGGCGGCTTCTCAGGGCCGCTACCTGTGTGCTTCTCTGCCTGCATGCTGGGGCACATCGGGCTCCCTGTCATAAGGCTCTTTGCTAGGCAACATGGAACCAGACATCGAAGCTCCCTGCCCTCATTTAGCTTATATTCTCCCCTAGAAATATTCTCTCTTTCCTAGGTATCTGTCCCTACACCCTATAAACATGCTCAAGCATTTCCCACCCTTAAAAATTCATCTTTCTTCACCATGCACCCCTTTGGGTACCCCCTCATTGGCCTTCTCCCTCCCCCTTGGATAGCCCTTTTGCCCTCTGCACTTGGGGTTTTGTGCCTGCAGCTGTGCTAAAACTGTTGGCAGGAAATCCCAAATGCCGTATCCACGGAGGTTTTGCCACTCTTGTTTCAACTTCTCTTTGACCTTGTAGCCACTGACTGCTTCTGCCTTCTTGTAAGCTCTCCTTTGCCGCCACATCGCCTGCTGGCCACTGCCTGCACCCTTGCTGTCCACCTCACGGGGGCTGGGCCCTCTTCTGCCTGGGATGTTGGTCTTTCCCACTGTTCTGCCCTCAGCCTCCTTGGACCCTTGCTGGGTGATTTGGCTACACCATGTCTCTGCCACAGCTGCCTTGGCTGCCGTGGGTCCAGCATGGATCTTACTTGTCTCTTGCTTGGTGGACTCCCTTTTGGAGACCAGAAACCAGGGTCTTTTCCCTTTTGCCCTCTTTTCCATCCTCAAGCACTGCCCACGGAGTTGGCCCCAGTACTTCTGGACACATCTCCTGAATCCCTCTCTCTCCTCCCCCTCCTTCTCATGTTCAGAGCTTCCATCATGCCTTTCCTGGGCTATTACAATAGCCTCTTTTTTTTCATCTTTAACTTTTTATTTGTGTAAAATTAAAGGGATCCAGAGATAAATAAAAATAGAGTCTGCCCTTGAGAAATTCCTGTTCATGGGCTTGTAGACAAGCATGTCCCAAGGCCGGGGCAATGCACCAGTAGAAGTAGATGCTGTCTGTTGGGCCCCACGGGTGGGCGGATAAAGACGGTGCCTGGGGCCTGCCGACACCCTGAGATGTTTTTCTGGCCCTTTGTTTCTGTTCTGCATTCTCTCCTTCAGCACATCTGTGCATACCCGAGACCTGCCTTTGCCAGGTTGAGACATCATGCACACATTGATGGCCATCTTTCCAGGAATCTGACCTTTATTCACTTAAACTATGGTAGAAGGAGGTGTTAAAAAAAAAAGATCCTACGCAATTACACAGTATACATACAGGGATGACTTCCCTGACACGCCAAATGTCTCCCTGGGTTAAATGAGGCCTGACTCAGACCTGAGTGTACCCATGAAACCAGCTTAGCCCCGGAAACACCCAAGTTCCCAGTCTTGTCTCTTGATTCTTCAGATACTCAGTATTTTGTAGGTTACCAGCATCGTCAGAGTAAGCAGATGTAAAAAGTATGCTCTAGAACAGCAGCTCAGATATTTCTACCCATTAAGATGAGAATTAGGGCCAGATTTGGGGCCAATGACCAGCCTGTCCCCCCCTGTCACCTTCTGTGCTCTCTGGACCCCCGTTTTGCACCCTGGCCTGGAGTGGCCCAGTCAGCCTGTGTCTCAAAGGCTCACACCTGGAGGAGGAGGCCATCAAAGGCAGATAGAGGTTCCATCACTGCATGACCCCTCCTTGCTGGCATTTACCCTACAGGTTGTCTCCCTGTCATCCTCACGCTGATAAGCTGTTAACCCAGCAGGTGGGAGGAGAGACTCTACCTCAGAAATGCACTTCAGCAACTGTGTTCCCAAAGGGTGTGTGGCCCTGCCAGCGTAGTTCTGGCTGAGCCACGAAACAGGGCCCTCTTCAGGGCTTTCCAGTCAGCCACAAATTGCCACTGTCCAGGCTGTCACTGAATGTGCACAGCCCTCTTTGTTGGGAGTTTCTTTTGTACCCACTTGACTACCTCTTCACACAGCTGCCTTGATAATTTAGGCTTCAAATTAGCAATGTCTGCACCCTGCTCATACCATGCCTGATTCTGTTAATGTCCCTCCTGTCACTTAGCCACCCTTGTGAGTTTGTGTGGGGTCTTTGAGCTGTCTGCACCCAATGGACTAGAAGCTCCATGAGGCCAGGGACCTGTGTGTCACCTTGCTAGTTACCTCACCCCAGATGCCTTACTATGGCTGGGCGTGTTGGCCTTGATACCTGTCAGCTGAGTGGATGACCAGGGTGGTGGTCTCCTTGGCCCCTCCAGCCTGGCTGTGCTCTGGGTGTGATGGGCAGTGGGTTTTCTCTGCTGTGCTCACATCTGTTCGTCTGTCTTGCAGGAGTCCACCAGCCGGGGCTGCCTTATTACACCGACCCTGGAGGGCCAGGCATGAATCCTGCTGGGACCTCCATGGCGATGGCTTTCCAGGTCCAGCCCACCTCACCTCAGGGAAGCACAGCCTACCCACCACCCCCTTCCTACTGCAACACCCCCCCCCCACCATATGAACAGGTGGTGAAGGCCAAGTAGTGGGGTGCTGCCCAGCACCTCACAGGGGGACAGGGAGGGGCCCTCTCCCTCCGCCTCCCTGTCCCTGTCCTATGAGCCACTAAGGGCCCCTTCCTCAGTGACGCCTTCACAGCAAGCACAGCTCCCTTTCCCTCTTCCATGGGGTGGGGCTTGGAATTCACCCCATGTCTCCTCTGTTGCTTCTATTTCTGATGTGACTTGTGCTCTGGCAGAGCGGGGACAATCCCCAGTGGTTAACAACATAGGTAGCACGCCCAGATCTCATGAGAGAGACTAAGCAGGGGGCACAAGGCCAGGCGGTATGGCAGGTGAGCCCACGGAGGGGCCAGGTGCCTGGCCCAGGAGAGCTCCCTCCCACCACAGGGAAAGCCTGGCGACAGCAGGCAGCTCACTGACGGTAGGCCCCACGGAGTTTGCTGGGGGAGCCTCATCCTGTCAGTCTTCCTCATCAAGCAGCTGTTAGACATGTGGTGGAGAAGAAACCCTGGAGCACTTTCCTATCTCCATGAACTTCCTGAAGATGAGAGGCTTCCTCTCTGCACAGCCAGGGCTGGGCAAGTGCTGTGCACAGCTCTCACCTCAAGATGAGGGCCCAGGTCCAGGCCAAGCTGGATGTTTACAGTCATCTGAAAACCAGTAAAGGAAGATATTTAAATTCACGGGAAATTGCTCCGTGCTGCACACGGCGACATTGCATTTTATGAGCTCCTGGTCTGTCTGACTTGGGAAAAAATGTTTCCCCCTTCTTTGTTGCATTTTTTGGAAGTTCGTGTACCTAGTCCTGTCCTTTGAGGTCAGACTGAGAATGTCTACTCTGAATATCAGCAGCTTGCTGGTTTTGATCATGACCAATGGTCTCAGCATGCTTCCCCAGGGCAGCTCTGGTGGGGGATGTTGACAGGCACGTTAAAAGCAGAGAGGACATCTGGCTGGGGAGTTGGGTCCATGCTTCATAGATGTGCCCAGGGCAAGGCCTTTGTTTGCTCTCAGCAGGTGTGTGCTGGGCTCTGAAGAGGAGGAGCTTGCTGAGAAAGACAGTAACAGGAAATGCCAGGACTTCAGGGAGATCTCTTCAAAAAGTACTAATTATATTTCACTGGCAATATAATGAAAATTAGAATAAAGAAGATAATGGTTAAAAATGCAAATCCTTGCCAAGAAACCTGTCTCACCCTTGGATTTTACAGGTGGTCACTGGGGTTGTTGGCAGTGAGCAGGGAAGATCAGTTCCTCTACAGTGGGACTCTGAGGTGGGGTTGGAAATCTGTACTCACTGACCTTGAGCACCAGGGCATCTCACTCGAGTGGGTACTAGTGCTTTTCATCACCCTAGACCAGGAGTCTTGGTGTCCTGCTCTGCTAGGACATCCTGTAAGGAGCAGGGGTGAGAAATCTCGATGGGCTGCAGTGACCCCTTAGGCTGACTTGACTTTAACGACGGAGAATCTGGGAACCTCCAAGGGAATCCTACAGGAAATGCATGGAGCCAGACAAAAGCCCTTGGAAACACAGTTTGTGAAGAGGTGCCGCTGCCGGGGTCTTCGACTGCCCTCGTCTGAACTCCTGCCCTGACTACATTACCTCCCCACACATAGGTCCTTGATTCCTATGAGACGACTAAGCACAACATTGGCTGTTTACACCCAAGGGCAACTTGGGTCCAGGCAGTTCCTCATCCACCAGGGCATTTGTTTGGTCATTTCCAACTTCTCCCTTTCCTGTTTCAGCAGAGCAGCAGTAAGAGCTGCCCCGGAACCAGATTAGGGTACAGCTGCATAGGCATACAGAAGGCCACTGTGCAATTGTGTTATCTTTCTGATAGCAGATGTGCTTGAGACACTGAATGATTTAGGTAGTGCTTGACAATTTTATATTCCCATGTTTGTGTAAAGTAAGTTTTGTTTTTCTTTAACGCGGGTGAAAACCTCGCTATAGTGAACACTGATACGGTATATGGAAAATCGACTTGTGGTGACATTTCCCAGCCATCGTCATCTTCTCTGTGCTGTGGGTGGATTATGCCTACTGCTTAGACTCCGATGTCAAGTCCTATAGAGTCAGCAGTTAGGAGTAAACTTGGAGCAGATCTGTGAATGTTTTTCTTCTGCAACACTTGGCTCTTTTCTGTTTTTAGTTCTCTTTTGATAGGGTCCTGTTTCCTATGTATGCAAAATAAAAATAAATTTGGGCATGTGCTTTGATTGTTTTGCTGAGAATTGGGAAAGAGGGTAGAGAAGAAGGTTCTAGAGAGGAAGGGTGTACAGTGGGTCACCAGTCAGCCAGGTGGGGGTGGGGAGAATGCATTCAATCTCAGGAGAGCCGGAGATTAGGTATTTTCCAAGAATGTAAGGAACTTTTGGCTCAACAACACATTTTTTAAATCTTCCTAAGGAAAAATATTATCTGAAGCAGATAGGAAGAGAGAAGCATTAATTGGGTAAACTCATGGCTAATACTGATATTAATTACCTTGGGGCCAGGATCTGCTTTCTATGGGTAGGTGAGTCTTGATTTTAAAATCTCTCTCTGCTTGGTCAGAAACCAAGATATCTCACAGATTTATTGAAGGATGTAACTGCTACAATTAGGCTGCATTTTACATGAGTCACTGATTGAGAATTTTAAAAGAAGCATCATTTTATAATTTGCTAACTTAAAACATGGCAGGAAATAAGCCAGACACAATCAAGCAGCTTGCTCGTGCTGAAGCCATAGCCAATTGACCCACCTTACCTGGACACCCCATTTGTCATCACCTTCCCCTAGTGAAGTGAAAGCAGGGACATTCACAAGGCAAAGCTCATGGCAAACTGGATGCTTCTATCTTGTCCTTTCCAAATTTCACTGAACTTCAAAAAAATCCATAATGGCTCTCAAGGCAAAGAAGTACAAGAACAGAATTTTTGAGTAATTGCTGGCATAGAAGATGGCAGGTGGGATTGGTGGATGGAGAAAACATCTGAGAGATGGAAGCAGAAAATGTGCCAGGAAGACAGCTGGGGAGGGCGTGCAGTGAGCGACACTGTACACTGCAGCCCTGTGGGTGCAGGGGGCAGGTGTGGGCCGTGGGCAGCTGGCAAGGTGATGGGCAAGGGCTGTTCTGGAAGCAGCTGTGCCGGACTGGCCATGCTCTGCCCCAGCTCCCATTAAGCAGTGTGGCTGGCTGCAGGAATTAATGACCTTGAAGCTCAGGTTCTCACAAAGTGGGCGCTCTGGGTGTAAGATGCTGAGAGATGGGCTGTTGGCATCGTTATCTTAGAAAATGGGTTAGGCTTTTCTAATGTATGAATTAAAACACTCAGTCTTGGCTCCAATGGCTTTCTCACAGTCCCTGGATCTTGATCCCAGGTCAGAGGAAGTTCCCACACAAGGCAGAAACTCAAGGAGCTGAAAAAATCAGGACCCAGTCACCAGCACCACGAAGCCTCCCTTGGAAGTTTCCCTAGCACCAGAGAAAAGATAAAGTTTTCTCCTGACTTGCGCTATGTCAGCCTTGCGACCCAGTCGCCCAAGCAACTCAGCTACAACGGTTCTTAACAGTTTGAGTCTTCGACCTAGAATATCCTTTGAATACCAAAGATGAGAGCACACAGTGGATGCAAGGGCACCCGTGCAGGCTTTGCTGCCCATTGCGGTGTCACTGAGAGACTATGGGCCATGAAGACGGCCAGCCTTGCTCAAGTCTGGAGTCTGCTGCTCGTTAGCTGTGTGTCTGCCAAGTGATTTAAGCTTCAGTGATTCAAATGATCTCGTCTCAGTTTCCACAACTATAAAATGGAGTCATACTTCCTGTTGCTCCATATACCAGCCTCGTACCTGGTACACTGTGAGTACTCAACGAATGTTGAAAATCGTCTGTTCTCCCTCATTCCACATTTCCCTGAGCAAGAGAAATTGAAGCACAGTGGGAGAGAAATGGCCTCCCACCCAGTCCTTTGCACAGCTGTTGGGAGACAAGGTCCATGGTGTGAGGGGAGTGAACTTCCTCTGGATATGTGCCCCATGTATTCACCTTTCAGACCACGATCCTGTGAAGACAGAAGCCATAGGGTGTGCTGTATACCACCACGCTGCACCTAACTGTACTGATGAGATCTTTGAGCACCCAGAACAAGCTATGACCTGACTTCCCGAAGCATTGCTTTGTACATTCATATTACTTCAGGTGTTTCTGCTGACCCCCTGCAACCACCTATTGTGATAATCCTACCTTGCCCTGGCTGTGGCTGCAGTGTCCAGGAGGGCTCTGCTCCTGGGCATGGACCCTCCTGAAAGTGGTGGATGCACAGCTGATTTGCAACTCAATGCCTCCTTCCCCCAATGCCCAAGAGGAAGATGAAGGGGATTAGAGTTGGGCTGTAGCCTCTCCCTCCCTGGAGATTCCCCTTCTGACACTGCTGTAAAGATCCGGCATGTGGTGACATTTCCCAGCCATCGTCATCTTCTCTGTGCTGTGGGTGGATTATGCCTACTGCTTAGACTCCGATGTCAAGTCCTATAGAGTCAGCAGTTAGGAGTAAACTTGGAGCAGATCTGTGAATGTTTTTCTTCTGCAACACTTGGCTCTTTTCTGTTTTTAGTTCTCTTTTGATAGGGTCCTGTTTCCTATGTATGCAAAATAAAAATAAATTTGGGCATGTGCTTTGATTGTTTTGCTGAGAATTGGGAAAGAGGGTAGAGAAGAAGGTTCTAGAGAGGAAGGGTGTACAGTGGGTCACCAGTCAGCCAGGTGGGGGTGGGGAGAATGCATTCAATCTCAGGAGAGCCGGAGATTAGGTATTTTCCAAGAATGTAAGGAACTTTTGGCTCAACAACACATTTTTTAAATCTTCCTAAGGAAAAATATTATCTGAAGCAGATAGGAAGAGAGAAGCATTAATTGGGTAAACTCATGGCTAATACTGATATTAATTACCTTGGGGCCAGGATCTGCTTTCTATGGGTAGGTGAGTCTTGATTTTAAAATCTCTCTCTGCTTGGTCAGAAACCAAGATATCTCACAGATTTATTGAAGGATGTAACTGCTACAATTAGGCTGCATTTTACATGAGTCACTGATTGAGAATTTTAAAAGAAGCATCATTTTATAATTTGCTAACTTAAAACATGGCAGGAAATAAGCCAGACACAATCAAGCAGCTTGCTCGTGCTGAAGCCATAGCCAATTGACCCACCTTACCTGGACACCCCATTTGTCATCACCTTCCCCTAGTGAAGTGAAAGCAGGGACATTCACAAGGCAAAGCTCATGGCAAACTGGATGCTTCTATCTTGTCCTTTCCAAATTTCACTGAACTTCAAAAAAATCCATAATGGCTCTCAAGGCAAAGAAGTACAAGAACAGAATTTTTGAGTAATTGCTGGCATAGAAGATGGCAGGTGGGATTGGTGGATGGAGAAAACATCTGAGAGATGGAAGCAGAAAATGTGCCAGGAAGACAGCTGGGGAGGGCGTGCAGTGAGCGACACTGTACACTGCAGCCCTGTGGGTGCAGGGGGCAGGTGTGGGCCGTGGGCAGCTGGCAAGGTGATGGGCAAGGGCTGTTCTGGAAGCAGCTGTGCCGGACTGGCCATGCTCTGCCCCAGCTCCCATTAAGCAGTGTGGCTGGCTGCAGGAATTAATGACCTTGAAGCTCAGGTTCTCACAAAGTGGGCGCTCTGGGTGTAAGATGCTGAGAGATGGGCTGTTGGCATCGTTATCTTAGAAAATGGGTTAGGCTTTTCTAATGTATGAATTAAAACACTCAGTCTTGGCTCCAATGGCTTTCTCACAGTCCCTGGATCTTGATCCCAGGTCAGAGGAAGTTCCCACACAAGGCAGAAACTCAAGGAGCTGAAAAAATCAGGACCCAGTCACCAGCACCACGAAGCCTCCCTTGGAAGTTTCCCTAGCACCAGAGAAAAGATAAAGTTTTCTCCTGACTTGCGCTATGTCAGCCTTGCGACCCAGTCGCCCAAGCAACTCAGCTACAACGGTTCTTAACAGTTTGAGTCTTCGACCTAGAATATCCTTTGAATACCAAAGATGAGAGCACACAGTGGATGCAAGGGCACCCGTGCAGGCTTTGCTGCCCATTGCGGTGTCACTGAGAGACTATGGGCCATGAAGACGGCCAGCCTTGCTCAAGTCTGGAGTCTGCTGCTCGTTAGCTGTGTGTCTGCCAAGTGATTTAAGCTTCAGTGATTCAAATGATCTCGTCTCAGTTTCCACAACTATAAAATGGAGTCATACTTCCTGTTGCTCCATATACCAGCCTCGTACCTGGTACACTGTGAGTACTCAACGAATGTTGAAAATCGTCTGTTCTCCCTCATTCCACATTTCCCTGAGCAAGAGAAATTGAAGCACAGTGGGAGAGAAATGGCCTCCCACCCAGTCCTTTGCACAGCTGTTGGGAGACAAGGTCCATGGTGTGAGGGGAGTGAACTTCCTCTGGATATGTGCCCCATGTATTCACCTTTCAGACCACGATCCTGTGAAGACAGAAGCCATAGGGTGTGCTGTATACCACCACGCTGCACCTAACTGTACTGATGAGATCTTTGAGCACCCAGAACAAGCTATGACCTGACTTCCCGAAGCATTGCTTTGTACATTCATATTACTTCAGGTGTTTCTGCTGACCCCCTGCAACCACCTATTGTGATAATCCTACCTTGCCCTGGCTGTGGCTGCAGTGTCCAGGAGGGCTCTGCTCCTGGGCATGGACCCTCCTGAAAGTGGTGGATGCACAGCTGATTTGCAACTCAATGCCTCCTTCCCCCAATGCCCAAGAGGAAGATGAAGGGGATTAGAGTTGGGCTGTAGCCTCTCCCTCCCTGGAGATTCCCCTTCTGACACTGCTGTAAAGATCCGGCTTCTGTGAAGGAAAACTCATGTTCTTAGGCCATTTCCAAGAGTGCAGGGAGGGAGGAGGAGCACCCCTCCATCTCTTCAGGAGTAACAGGAATGCTTCAGAGCACTGCTGTCTTCCACTCTGGACTCGAAATCACTGTGCTGAGGTCCTGAAGCCCATGAATCACTTGCCACTGACCCAGGACTCATTGTACAGGAACAGGGATAGATACCAGGCATGTACCTATGAAAAGTGCCTGGGCACAGCCCTTCCAAACAGTAACAATCCCTCATGATTTTTTAAAAAGTGTGTTTTACTGAAGTGTAGTTAATATACAATATTATATTGGTTTCAGGTATACAACA